TTTTTTTTTTTTTTTTTTTTTTTTTTTTTTTTTTTTTTTTTTTTTTTTTTTTTTTTTTTTTTTTGGTAGTTATTTTGCCTCCACCAGCTGGTGCCTGTTCAATAAATTTGGTAATTGAGGTTGCCTTCCTAGAACCTTCAAAAACTTCCCATACCAGCTTTTGTGCGGGCACTCACTCAAGAAAAAAGGCCGACTTTTACAACAAAAAGAAAATTCAATTAATGCTGCTCTTTGAAAGAAAAAACTGAACAATTCAGGGATCTTTAAGGGTTAAGGCAAATGCATTGAGCATTGGTAGGAACAAATTTTTGATTCAGCTTTTTTTATGTACTGATCCATAAGTACACTCGGAGTATCCGTTTGCGGTTTCCTTCAACTTCAGGCTAGCATGATTCCTTATCTTGTCTATCTCTATCTCTACCTCGTTTTCTGTGTGGGAAGTTCTCTCGTCAAAAGAAAAAGAAAAAATAAAAAATAAAAAATAAAAATAAAAATGATTAAATATGTTCCCCAGCTTCGAAATATGGACAATCAAGAAAGAGAAATAACCAAAAGAAAATATACTTGGTGATTAAAGCCCAAACCAATGCATTAAAATAGACCAGACTTCAAACATCAAAAGCATGATGCACTCTTCGTTCCAAAATATCCTTACATTCCTTCCAAGTCAAATAATCCAAAAATGCTAGGACTAGTAGAGTCTAAAGAACCCTATTGCATCCAGTGAAAGATTTAAAAACAATAGCCTCTTTCGAGTTCTCAGACCTTTGATTACAAAACAAATTTATATAATTGACACCATAAAGGGTCAAAACCTCCACCATCATTAACATCACTGGGTCGTATTTCTGTGCAACAACATTACAAACTCCCAACTCATGTTTTATTTTATCCTAAATTTAATCTACCTTTTAACTTCCTACATTTCTTAATTCACTTCCAGTAAAAAAGTACCAACCACCCGAATAGTCTCATAAATATCTCATGCAAAAGTGAAAAAAGAGAAAATATCTCAAGATCTTCTCCCATTATATAGACTTCTGTTTGATGAGAGATTCACCTACAAGGTCCGTTTGTTCAACATTTTCAGTCATACTCTAAGCAAATGACCAATTATTTTTCTTCAATCTATCATTCCAAAAACAAACGAGTTAGGAACATTATTGTCATTACCATCAAAGCCATCTCAACCATGAACAACAATAGTGTTTTGGATCCCAATCACTCCTGTCAACATGCCACAACACAGTGGGACTCCTCCATTGTAGTCACTAGAAAACACTTTCATGATGGTTGGTACAAAATCACGAGGGCCAACGATTTTTGCTTCCTGAATCCATTTCGTCCAGACAAAACCCTTCTCCGATTTGCTAGTGTTATTCTTGTGCAAGGGTCATATTAATCTCTCTCTATCGATCCAGTTTTATCAGATCTCCCCAAAGGAACCAAGCCCTCCTCCGATGTGAAAATGGAAAGCAAGCAAAAATCCTATGCACCAAGGCAAGCTGGTATGAAGTTGAATCCTAAACCATGGAATATTGATGTCAACCCAGGTTTGGTCCTACGGAGGTTGTATCAAATAAAATCCCTACCACTGGACCATTAGGACCCTGATACGTTGAAAGCCATTTGAAAGGCTTGTGGAGGTTACTTTAATTCAGCAAGAAAGACTTTGTCCAAATTGGACCCCATGGAAGTGCAGGCATCGAGGTGAAAGAGCAACAACTTTTGATTTTGTCCCGATAGAAATAGAAATACCTTTGTCTTCAAAGGCTCCTTTAACTGTATAACTTGATCTATTCTTCATAGTTGATTACCACGTTGGTTATATGGTCAGAATCCATGGCAAGGAGCCATTGTGCAGGTCTCCCAATGATAAAATGATACCCTCAGATGTACAATGAGACCCACCCTTTCCCCTTATACCTAACCCGACTTTACATAATCCTCTTATGACAAACTAGCTGCTTCCATCAATCAACAAGACACCTTCCTCATTCCTAACACAAAATTTTCCACTTCCCCTCCCCACCTTGACTCTGAAAATGACTATGCATCCAGCCCTCTCCCTCTTTCCACTGCCCCACCCTCCCTCATGGTGACAAAATCCAAAACCAACCTTCACCCAAGCAGATTGATCTAGTACGACACACAGGCTGACACCTCTTCTGTAATGACCCAAAATTTTCTACTTAGTCTAAGGTTGCTACCATACATTTGACCTGACATTTCATGCTATAGAATTTTCTACTTAATCTAAGGCCGCTTCCTCCTTGGGGTGCGCCAACGTTAGGTGTCCAAAAGAAAAATGACCCGATGCAATGGAGCATCGATTTTAGAGAACGAAATATGAGGACCTTAGTCTAGATAAGATTTCAAGACAAATTAATAGAGTCCAGTGACATATAGGCTACCACTTCCACCCAATGTACGACGGACCTCATTTACTAATGGACTATGAACCCGTCAAATTAACGAGGACTTACATTACAAAGAGAAGCCTATGAAAATCTTAATCTGAGTTGGAAGTCTTACTCAAGAAAGATATTGCCTTCGTCAAGTACGGAGGCGAGACCACCACACGCAAGAAGCCATATTAGAACACCAAGATAAGAGAAAATCACCCCAATTAGTACACAAGTTTAATACTTTCGAGGACGAAAGTTCCTCTTAGAGGTATATAATGTAGGGATTAAAAATAATAATAAATAAATAAATAAATGAGTGGTGGCAGTTACATGTTGGACTTTTGCATATGCCAGTATTCAATCCCAACTAATTTTTCGCCCAATTCATCGGATCCAACTCCATTTCATCTCCCATACTTGCTAATTTTGCGGTCAACCTCCTTCCTCTTTTTCCGCTTCCAATAAAAATAGATAAAATATATATATATATAAATAATGGACCTTTCACCTCAAACTCTCCACTCCTACCCTCAAAACCCCCTCTTCCACTCTAAATCTACGGTCCCAATTCCAATCCCATTTCCATTTTTTACGATTCTTCTTGTATGCCCCCGTCATTGTCCCATCAATTGATCTCTGATTTCTGATTCTTGCGTTGATTTTGATTTCAGAATGAACCGATTTGAGATCAATTTTGGGAACCCAATTTTTGGCCTATCTGCACCATTCCGACCCTCCCGAACTTGTTTTTGACCTCAATTAAGAAATCTGGCGATAACGTAGGGAGAGGTTCCTACACCCTTATAAAGAATGCTTCGTTTCTTAATTAAGGAACGGTGCAGAAAAGGTCCAGGAGAGTCGGAATGGTGCAGAAAAGGTCCGGGAGAGTCGGAACGGTGCAGATAGGCCAAAAATTGGGTTCCCAAAATTGATCTCAAATCGGTTCATTCTGAAATCAAAATCAACGCAAGAATCAGAAATCAGAGATCAATTGATGGGGCCAATGACGGGGCATACAAAAAGAATTGTAAAAAGTGAAAATGGGATTGGAATTGGGACCGTAGATTTATAGTGGAAGAAGAGAGTTTTGAGGGTAAGAGTGGAGAGTCTGAGGCGGAAAGGTCTATTTTTATCTGAAGCGGAAAAAGAGGAAGGAGGTTGACCGCAAAATTAGCAGTATGGAAGATGAAATGGAGTTGGATCCGATGAGTTGGATGAAAAATTAGTTGGGATTGAATACCCAATCTTGGCATATGCAAAAGTGACCTAGGAGCCCCTTTTTCCCTCAACAGTCATGCGTATCATTGCCCCCATGGCTTTAGAAGAACCATGTGTAATATGCCTATCCCTTCTACAAACAAGAGGACAAACGCATCCAAGAAACAAAATAAATAAGTCAGAGAGTCATAAAGTCCCATATCCTTAGAACTCAAGGATGCAATCAATTATGAAAAATCTTCGAGAAAATCATTCCATCCTATCCTTCAGATTTTATGGTTTATAACATCTTGAGGCAATGGATTGTTTCATTGAGCCATACGGCCACCCTAAGAGGGCTTGATCCACTATTATCCATTCATTGTGCTCTGCATTCGAAATAGTTCTGGTTGAGGACTTGTCTTTGTTGGTAACAGCTATGAGCTCTGCCGATGGGGCTTTGGTTCCCAATATGAAACTGTCCAACCTTTGTCCTCTTAGAACAGGTAGAATCATTGACTTTCAAAGTGCGCAGTGTTTACATTTAACTGTATGTAGAGTCCTGAGTTTAGCCCATCACATGATGAAGTCTTAACAATGTTGCTTCCTAAGAGTGAAAGCCTTTATTGAACGTGATGTGGTAGACGTTGTGGGAGTTGAGACCGTTGTTTCCTTTCCTAAAGCCCTGGTTGAAGGAGGCTAAAGGAGATGAGGTGTTGGCTTGGGTAGCTCGAATACCAAGTTTAAAGAGATGCCTTCTGGGAATTTGTGTTGTCTCACTAAGAATATCTCAAGGAGTACACATACAAGTTTTTGAAACCCTAGTAGTAATGTATAATGGGTTTGACTATATAAATACACAAGCCCATTAAATACTTGAAACAAATATAATAAGTAAATCTGAGTGTTGCTGGGCCATGAATTATGGGTTGATAATAATCCATGTGTTCAACATGGATGGAACAAAATCAAAATGTCTATTTGGAGAAGGAGCTCTTTCAGCATGTTTTACAATCTTGTTATATTATATGGTATTTCTTGGCGTAAACTGTCTACCCCTTCACTTCCTATATATATGCTTCTCTTTTAGCTAATTGGGAAAGCCCTTTGAAATCCCGTAGATTTTCATCCTTTTTTTGTAAATTTCATTCATCAATGAAATTGTTACAGAAAGAAAACAATATATTTTATAATAAGACACCTAGTTGAAAGTATGTCTATCTTTAATAAAGATTCTGTAAGGAAAGAATCTGCAGTAAATCGATAACATTCAGCAAAAGAATTACCATACTGATGGGATTATGCTCACCTCTGGGCTCAAGAAATTATGCAATACAATGATTCGTGGTGACCAGCTTACTACTTCGGGTTTAACCTAAACCACAAAATAAAATGGAAACTTTCATTAAGGGCAGGAAACTTCAAATGATAATATGGTAAACATGCCTACAAATTATTCCCTGAAGAAACACATACTTAGAATAAAAAAAAATCACTTAAATGTTAGAAAACATGTCCCATCAATGTAAAAGAGCAGGCCTGTTAGTAGAAATGACATGATACTAGTACTCCAAAATTTCTTCATTACTAGCATATCATCCATCGACTATCATTTTCGCTTTCAAATAATATTTCTAAGATTTTTGTACATTGATATCTACATTTCATGAGATATGAAACAATGTTTCAATTATTTACATTCGTATTTGAATGAATTGACCGCTTTTTTCCACATATAATATGTGAGAATGTTTCTCCTCTTATGCTTCTAGATTGAATTATCCTTCCAGGGCTTGGTAATTACTCTCGTCTTGGTTCAAGCTAATTACAGAGAGTCTTAGTAATCTCTTTCCCCTTCTAGAATTGAGGGTATCCTTTTCCTCTTTTTCTTTTCTTTTTTGTGTGTGCGGGACAGTGTTGAATTATAGTATTCTTTAGCCTTCTTACTCATTTCTACTTGAACACAATCATATTACATGCTTTCCCCCAACGTACTTGGTTCTTAACTTTTATTTTGTTTACAAAGGATAAAGAAACATTTTGCATATTCAGTATCCAATCGTCTTTGAATAACAAGGCATCTAAATATCCCAAAACCAAAAAAATAAGGCTAGAAAATCATAAATAAAAAAATAGTGATAAGCATACATAGCCAAGACGAAGAATTTCTGCTTCTTTGTCATTAATCCAATTAGGAAGACCTGAAAATTAGCAAAAAGAGAATGAACAAGACAAAATCAGAAATAAATAAAATCAGTTGCAAGAACATGGTGACTATTAGACATTTTCATATATTTTGTTAAATCTTTTTCTTTTTTTTTTTAAGATTTATTTTTTAGAAAACTCTATTTGAAGTTACTTCGATTAGAACCTTGATACCAACATTTAATATTTTCAAAAACAAAAACAAACAGACTGATTATTCAACAGCCCAACAAGAATTGATGTATTTATTTTTACTGGAGAGAAACAATTGTTACAAATTAGAAAATAAAATTTAGAAAGAAAGAAGATAAAGAAAAAATAATAATAATAAATAATGTTCTTGGTCCCGTCTGGACAAAAAAAACAGGGCAATTACATACAAAAATTTATGCATCTTGGCTGAAACCATAATTTGCCATGTTCATCATATGAAATAAACTGACGTTAAAAACCACTTTTGAAGCAAAAACAGAGATGAACAACTTGCAGACATGCTAAATCATAGAAGATATATGGCACATAAATTTGACAAAAGAGAGATACATCCCCTTCAAACCAATTTTGATGTTACTTAATAAGGGTAAACTTTTGTGTTAAAGATGATCCTATTGTAATCTTTTCAACCTCGAGGTAATTGATGTTGGCTATCATACTGAGTTTTATGTAACCTTCCAGCAGGTAGAAACTCGTTGCCTGCAAAGACATGGATCGTACAAAAGTCAATCATTTTAGTTATACCAAAACAAACCATGCCTCATAACATATAGGATGCAGCCAGCAAGTGCCGTGAAGTCAGAAAAGATGGATGATATTCTTTTGCATAAATACATCAAGAGCTCTTGGCTAAATGAAAATGTCCACATCGTTCAGTCATTCTTCCAAATAAAACCTGGAAGCCGTAAGTTTTATGGCATGCAAACAAAATTTCAAATCCTAGTGAGATCCATACATCTACTTCAGCGAATTTAAAATGATCCATGTAAGAAACAAGATTTCTCTTCAACGAATTTCACGTTGAACCATTATGAGTGCAGCCGCTTAAATAAACTATCTTCGATGTGCTCCAAAGTCCAAGTATTGGGTCCATTCCAGATACTTACCATTAACAATTTTTTAGTCAAGTTGAACAAATGAAATGTTACGACGACATTAGCAAGCAAGTATTTACAGAAATTTTTCTCTTTTTCACGAAACTCGGCCTTATTATGCTTACGGTGCATGATACAGAATTGAGCTTCTTAGGGCTTTCAATTGGAAATACGTTCATAATGTACTATTCTTTTCTATTAGTTTGAACCAACTAAGTTAACTCATACTGCACATTGACTGTAACACTAACAGGCAAGTATTTACTGTACATTTCCACTTTTTCACAGAATTCGGCCTTATTATGCCTATGGTGCATGCTATAGAATTGAGTTTCTAAGGGCTTTCAATTGGAAATATGTTCATAATGTACTTTCATTTTCTATTAGTTTGTACCAAAATAAGCTAACTCATACTACACGTTGACTATAACACCAGCAGGCAAGTACTTATAGGACCTTTCCTCGTTTTCACAGAACTCAGCCTTATTATGCCTATATGGAGCATGCTATAGAATCGAGCTTCTTAGGGCTTTCAATTTGAAATATGTTCATAATGTACTTTCTTTCTCTAATAATTTGAGCCAAAATAAGTTGACTCATACTGCACATTGATTGTAACACTAAAAGGCAAGTATTTACAATACCTTTCCTCTTTTTCATGGAACCCGGCCTTATTATGCCTATGGTACATGCTACAGAATTGAGTTTCTTAGGGCTTTCAATTGGACATATGTTCATAATGTTCTTTCTTTTTCTATTAGTTTGAACCAAAATAAGTTAACTCATACTGCATATTGACTGTAATCTTGTGTTATTTCCTCAACATTTTATAGATCTTTTTATTAATAAACATATATTTATATATATATACGCTTCTCCATAAACATGAATGAAAATAAAATTCATGATTTGAAATGATCCAAACCCAACCCCAAACCTCTTTCCAAATATAAGATACTTTCATTAATAAATTTCAAGTTTTTATATCCTAGATGACAAATAAACCAAGAAGAGTACCAGTGGAGTCCTCTAGCCTCCTTATAAATGCTAGTTGAAACAAAGCACCTGCAATTACCATTCAAGAAAGCAACTTACAGTCAGAACTTTGCATAGTTCTCTAGAAGTACAGAATCACAGTCAAGTCACCAAATTTTATCAAACACGAACAAAGAATCCAGCCAAATGGTACAAGGATTCATCTTAAAACGGATCAATCATTGCATACAAAAGAGCTGCAACGTTTAATTAAAAATAAAGGGAGGAAAGTGTTCTTCTATCCATTTCTCAAAGCCATGGAACAGCAGAATTGCAGAAAATGAAAACAAAAGGACATTTACAAGGCGTCGACCACAGGTGTAGCTACCAATCTTCGATAGAGCGCGCAAATATACAATTAGGAAGCGAGAAATTTGAAATATATATATATATATATATATATACACGAAGTAATTCGCAAATGTTCGCGGCAATCCCTCGCTCCTATAAGGAAGCCAGCTCTCACAAGAGCTCCTCCTACAACAGGATTACAACAGAACTCGGATTTAACATACATTGACAGATACCTCAACAAATCGCCAAGCCTCTTATCATTCCAGTTCATCCAAACGCAGCAACGCAAAAAAAAAAAATGGAGTCCAATTACACATCATTAATCTCCATTTTGACATCTAATGAGTAAATAGAAAGCCGCACAAAACGCCAATGCATAAAATCAACAGAAAACAACAGAATGAAACAAAAATGCGTACCGATGATCATGCCGACGGTGACGAAGGTTAGGAGACCGAAGGCAATCCTCATCGGAGCGGAGGCCATGGCTACCTAAACGAAATTTTGACTCCTTGGAACGATAAGTACCAAAAAAATCAGGAAAAAACGGAGAAACCGTTAGCCTAGGAAATAGGTAAGGTATAAATCAGCTCAGGGACCCAATGATAAACCGTTTTGATCCTCTCTCTCTCTCTCTGATGTGATGACCCACTGCAGATGGATTCTCTTGTGCTTCTTTCCTCTTCTTTCCCGTTTCCTTGGATCTCTTCCGCAACAGTCCAGAGAAAACTGGCTGTGATTCGAGATCCCGCTGATTTCCTCCTCCTAAATTTGCGTCGTCTGGGAAGCAACAATATGAAATACGAGGAAGATTTCCTTTTTGCTACATTTATTGTGCTAATGTTGAGTGTTTCTTCAATGTCAAAACGTTGATCAACATTTTGGGTTCTTTGAGTGATAGTTAAGTTGTGAAATTGAAGGTTAATACATTTGTGGAGTTAAAAAGTCAACTAACCTTAATAAGCTTGTGTTTGGGATGGTGAGTTCTAAAATTTTATTATTTCATTCAATTCAACATAAATTTGCATCAATTACTTTACTCAATTCACGAACTCATATCATTGTAGCAATTTTTAAATATTTTTTTAGCCCGCATCGTGTGTGTGTATATATATAAGGTAGCTACCCAAGTGTTCCCGTGCATCGAACATTTCATTGCCCAACTCATCCTTCCGTTGGTCGAAGAGTGTGTTTCGATCCATCTCTCTAGTGACAAGGCAGCACGTTACTCAAGCTGAGTACAGGGTTTTTATTTGGACAATGATCAATCTTCATTTTAGCATATCAAACGTCTACTCTATCACATTACTTGCTAATTAACATTTCGTATTGAAAAAGTTCTATTCAATTCATTAGTGTATTCCCTGCTCTGTCGTTCATATAGTTAATACCGTTGTTGTTCTTTATTTGGCATCGAGAATCCCTCAAAATTAGGGTACCCAGTATCACAAACATAATAGCAATTACGTGCCTTTTATAATATAACAGTAACAATTCTTAAATTTTGTACGCCTTATGAAAGGCCCAACTCGTTAGGTCGTGATATCAAATTCCCGAGCACTCTCGAATCTGCTATTAAGGGGAATCAAATTTGCTACGAAAGGGAACCATTGTATGCATTAGAAATCACCGGTAAGTAAAATGGTTAGGATTATTAAAAAATGATTTATTTATTTTTTACTAACTTAGTTAATTAACTATACATTATATACTAATAATGTAATTAATCAGTAATTTTTGTAAATAATTAATCATAAGAAATGAATGAAATAAATATTTTAATAAATTATTAAATTAAATAATTAAACCATGGCCATTTCCATCGAACAAACCGGGCCGGGTTCGGGCGCCAGATGGACCATTCTAACAGCAGAACCTGGTCCTAGGGTTTTAGGGCGTTTGCATTCTCTCCGGGGTTTAGAGAGAGAACGAACTACTCTCTCTCTCTCTGACCGCTACACGATTCTCACAAATCCACGTTCCGACACTTAATCCCTTCAACAAATCTCCATTTGCAGTGCCTTTTCCGATCGTTCCATCGCCATTCCTTCACTAGCTTGTTGCTTGGTTCTTTCCCATTTCCTGTAGGTGATCATATACAATGGCGGGCCTTGCTCCTCCGACCACTGCAACTGCTGCGGCTGCGGCTACGGCCTTACCCGTTCCCCCCAAGAAGACAGAGGATGAGAAAGTTGATTACTTGGATCTCCCTTGTCCTATCCCCTACGAGGAGATTCACCGTGAAGCTTTCAGTAAATTCTCTTTTTCTTATCCCCCTTTGGCTATACTTTGACGATAAGTTGATTGCTTTAGTTACTTCATCGGGGATATCTGAGATCACTTTACTTTCTTTTTGAAAAATGTAGATTTCTTGAGGTGTGTAATGCTTGTAACGATGGTGGGATTTAGAACTCATATCATTCATCTATATGGGCTTCGTAGTTTTTTAGTGGAAACAAGGAAATTGGAAACAGGAGTTTTGGTTTTTAAACTGTTGTATTGTGGAGCTGAGTTATTTTATATATTTGATTTGCCTTGGCAGTGTCATTAAAGCCGGAACTATTTGAAGGGATGCGATTTGATTTCACCAAAGGACTCAATCAAAAGTTTTCCCTCAGCCACAGGTAGTTCTTTGGTGATGAGTTTCTTCTGGCTTTTTTCCTTTTGTCTTTTCTTCTGGGTCATATAGTGAATTGACTTAGCTTATCACTATGCGTTATCGACCATTGATGACTGTTCAGCGTGTCTATGGGACCAATTGAGATTCCTTCCCAATCTACGGAAACCATCAAAATCCCTACTGCCACTTACGAGTTTGGTGCCAACTATATAGACCCAAAGGTACCCGATTTACTGAATGTGCGTTGTTTCGTTCTCATATTGAACTACAACGTGATGGCATTGGCAACTGATATGTAGTTGATGCTTTTTGGGAGGATACTCACTGATGGAAGGCTGAATGCGAGAGTGAAGTGCGATTTATCTGACAATCTCACTTTAAAAGGCAATGCACAGGTGATATGGTTTCTTCTATCATGTAGTTATCGTGTGCTGTCATACTTCAATTTCCTTCAATTTCATTTGCTGATATCATATATATTTTTTTTTCAGCTGACAAATGAGCCACATATGTCGCATGGCATGGTCAACTTCGATTATAAGGTTATCAAGTCTGGGAAGATTTACGATCTTGCACAATTTTATTACATCATGTTGTGATATTTTGATATGAATATGATTTATATGCTATAGTTACTACTCTTGAGTTATGCCCATCAAAGTGTCTCATTTTTCCTTAGCAAGTATGTTTATGGCTGAACACTGAGCTAAGAACAATATATTTGAAAATAACCTATTGCCCTGTCTTAGTTGGGTTTCTTCCGTTTGCAGGCCTTCTTTTCTTCCAAAAATTCTACAAATATATTTACACCCGAATATTTTGATAATGTCAGCTATTATTTTATGATGTTTAATTCCGTTGTTAAGGTCTCCATCGAGACTTGGATATATGCTCTTAAACCTTAACCAAAGCCAATTTAGTTCAGGCTCTGTTGCCAAAGAACGTTTAACATGAAATAGAATCTATCAGTTGTGAGAGCCAGGTTCCTCAACTCTCAATGGCTGTACTGAATCTTTTGGAATTGAACTAGTGGTCTCTGGTTCATGGAGACTGTCTACCTTAATATTAAATCCCCTACGTTTTCTAGTTCCCAAGTGCGGGAGAACTACAAAGGAGTTCTAACATCAAAATTGGTTTTTTTGGGGGTGGGGGTGTGGGTGGGGACTATGGTTTTATGGTTTTGAAAATGTTAAGATTTCTCTTACGTTCAAGTTAGATATTTATATTGTAATCATTTGACTTCCATTATGAGTGAATGTTCTCATAATAATTTTTTCCTTTTACAGATAAATAGTTTTTTTTTTAATAAAAAATATTAACACATTTGTTTTTGTTATATATTTGAATCAGGGCAGAGACTTCAGATCCCAGTTTCAATTAGGCAATGGTGCCTTATTTGGAGCAAGTTACATTCAGGTACAATACAGAATGGTTTATATTATTATGTTATCCTGTCCTTTAATGGTTGCTCAAATATTCTTGATTGCGTTGACAAGTTTTGGAGTTTGGTTCGCATTGGGAGAATTTTTGAAACACTTGCATAATTTTTTTTTTTTAAATTGGAGATTTAACTCATTTTATAGTTTCTCTTTTGGAGTTTTGTTACTCAGTATGCATTTATTTTGACATCTAGATTACCTTTTCCTTGTCATACTTCTTTCCTCCCTTTTTGTCAGGGAATGTACTCGATAAGGAATCATATCCTTTTCCACCTGGTGCAAATCCTATTTTATACAATTACAATTTCACACTTGCTCACCATAATGCACATATAGGTGTTGGAGTCCTCTGTATTTATGATTTGATTTTGTTTTATTGACAATTCACCTCTTTTCTTAAGAGCCAACACATCCCACTACTGTTCTCCTTGCACTCTGCTGCTAAAATTCTTGATCCTCTTGTTTACTTTGTTTCTATTTCATCGCAACTATACATTTCTTTTCTATTCAAAAGAGAGAGCAGGTATCATTTTGCACAAAATGCCTGGTCGTTGTGGACTGCGTCCCCAACCCCCAGATTTTCATGTTCTACTGTCCTCGATAGGAATAGAGGTGGAGATAGAGTGATAGTCTAGACATTCTTGCATATAGGATGGCTTTGACAATTTGAACAACTATCAGTAGCTTTGTTCATATTTTGACTCTTCCCAACTGTGGGACACAAAGAGACTTTGCTGATCATAATTCTGTTTTGCAGAGTGTATCACCCCATCTATCATTGGGTGGTGAAGTATTTTGGGCTGGTCAGCATAGAAAATCTGGTATTGGTTATGCTGCTAGATACAACACAGATAAGATGGTATAGTAACTTTTATCATTCGTCGACTTTTTCTTCAATTTTCTATATTTCATTACCACGTACAATGCAAGCAAAGTTTTTAGCTTGGCTTCAAATAGCTAAATTGTTTAGAAGTTTAATGTATTTGTTGAGGTTTAATGAATTTCTTGTTTTAATTAGTTAACGTTAATTTAATAAAAGTTCTTAATGAATATAAATGTCAAATATATATTTATGTTAAGTTTTTTTATGATATACACTCCATGTGCACTTGAATTCCTGAACTTGTCTGGAAAGAACTTCTTAATATGAGGCTGGCGTAACTAGTCCAACATTTTGATCCCACTTTATATGTCATAGGTCTGATTCATAAGATAACATTAGAATTACTTAGTTGATTATAATTTCATTAAAAAACATTATAATAACTTAGATAAAAATAAATGAATATTTACTTATAATCAACTAACTAAAATTTACTTATAAAAATCAACCCCCATCCAAAGGGATGGTGCCGGAGGTGAGAGTTCGGTCTGTTGGATATTTTCTCCTAGGTTTTGAGTGCAAAGCTCTGGTTGGAGAACTTAGAATTTGAAATGTCTTGTTATCTAAAGAGATTAGCAAGGGTAGGCAATGCACATGGTGCAAGGTGTGACGCCTCTTTCAATACCTCTATTACTTTGTTAAAAAAAAGGAAGAGCGCCAACCTGAGCATAGCTAAATTGATTGAGACCTGTATCCTTGGTCCAAAGGCTAGAGAGGATCTAATGTCCTCCCTCACATGTCATTGAACTATAAAAAAGTAAAAATAGAAGGAAAGAGTAAACATAAGGACTAGTATTTTTGAAATACAATGGAAGTGAAATTTCAATTGCTTAACAACAAACAACATTTGAATTAGAACGACACTAAAAAATAATTTTGTAAGAACTAAAAATATGCCTTAAGCTTTTACCCATCAAATGATAATTTAACTTACAATTAATAGTAAAAATTAGCAAATAAAGAATGGAATGTAACTGATCCTTTTTAATAAGAGTGCAAGATATCCAAAAACCATCCTCCACTATTCTCTCGTTAAATAGTATAGAAGATCTTGGATTACTTTGTGCCACTGTAATAGTATCCAGACATTTAATCTAGTTTTTTCTTCAAAAAATTTTGTATTTCTTGATTGTCGACTAGCTTTTTGGATTTTTTTTTTTTTTTTTTTTTTTTTTTTTTTTTTTTTTTTTTTTTTTTTTTTTT